ACTCAAGTATTTGGCTTTTTTGTATTAGTATTATTATTTTCCACAAATTTTACCTGCTCCACTATCATACCGCTTAAAGTGTAAAAATCACATGCGTGTCACACAGCCCAATGCTTTGAGAAAATCTGTGACAATTGTGTGCAGGAAACAGCTGGAGACACTGAAGAGCGTGTTGACAGTCAGCCCAGTAGGAAAACATGAAACTGTAATTTAGTTCAATAGATTAAAGGTTGTAACTATTTCATCAACTGCTGCAACAGCAATAATCAAGTTTAACCAAGACATATGTAACAGCACATGCTGTGTATTATGTCTGGTTCTCCTGTACAGCAGTGGGATCAGCTGCATACGACTGATATTACCCTTGTTCTGATGAGCCAGGGTAGTGTGTTAGAACTATAACAGAACATATACTTTCAGTCAATTCATGTCGTGATACAAGATTTTAGTGGTGAAGTGAGGAGGTGTGATCTGGTCAGTTACAGAGTCCACTTTTTCTGAGAAATTAACTGACTTCAATGATTGTTCCAAATGTTAATACATTACTATATTACATGAGCAACTATGTATACAACTTTCCTTCACATATGGACTTTCAATGTGTGACAGATGTCATGTCAGATCACAAGACTTCCTCTTATATAAGGAAGTACGTTCCAATTTTGAGGATTTATTTGAAAGCCCAGCAAAGCAAGCTGGACTGAGGCTTTTGGCTTATGTTTAAAAGCTGTCAACAACCACCATAAGACAAGAAACAGATCAGACAAATGAAATGGGCCTCTCTCTTATAGTCAGTTGTCTCCTACCTTGACACACTGCTCAGCCAGGTCTCTGCTGGTCCTGTTGTTCAACTCCACTACCACCAGTCGATTACACAGCGCTTTGATGGCCCCATCCACCCCCACAATCCTGCGGGTACATTCTGCCGACACGTCCAGGTAGTAGGTTATTGCTCGGGCTGTAACCTCCAGCACGTTATCTGGAGCACTCTCATCCAAGAAGATCTTACAGAGCGCTGGAAGGAATGTCCGAGGAGGACATCTGGCAGATAAGAGAGGGATGACAGTGAGGAAGAGAGAATGCTGAATTCTGAAATCATGACCACCAACTGAATGCTTGTGAGACAAATACACAAACTTACGTCTCAAAGCAGCGGTCGACGTTATCCGACATGAGCAGTAGCATGCAGAGTTGTTCCAGAGCAATGAGTTGCATGTCACGCTCATCACCCTGACCCATCTGCAGCCACTCCAGCAGAGTGTCTGGGTCCACATCGGCCATGATGGCTAGCCTAAAGCAACAGAAATATACAGAAATCTTATTACTGTCACTCACAGCTGTCATTTATGTGCAAGCAATCAAAGCAGAGATGAAAGATGCATAATTTAGCTACATTTAAGTAGCTAACCGAGCCCCCGTGTAAGCTATTACTGTACTAATGCTTAAACAAATCTGATTTGGATGGTTTATTTATTGTTAGATATAATTAAAAGTGTTAGCACTTCCTATTAAATGTGATTTTGTTGGCCAGCTCGCTGTAATTTACCCAAGCTATATGATCCTGATCATGTTTTAATTTGTACCAATGGGGGGGTAACAAAAATCTTACTTGCCAGGTATATCACCTTTGGGGGTTTGTATCAATTTGCCATTCATTTGTAACAGCATTTTTCAACGCTTTCCTTACTTGACAATGATGTCACTAAGTGAAATACGATCTGCATCGTATCAGTTTTTTGGTGTCTGTTATGTGGACTTTGTGTGCAATCAGTGTGCTGGAAGTAAAATAAATTATTATAATTTAAAAACAAATAACCAACAAACAAAATGAAAGCCTCACCTAGCTTCCCGTTGGCTACCCGGTCTGGCTCAACACCCACTCAGTTGTGTCGCTGTTTGGGACTCATCCAACCAACCAGAGAGAGAGAATGGGAAAGGGAACACACTTAAGAGGAAGTGCTGACGTTCACAGGGATTTCTGGGACATGAAGTCTCTCTACCTGCAAACAGGAAGAACAGATGAGAAAGGCTCAATTGACATTCATCTGTCTGTACATGAAACACACTAAAATGATTATCTGATCCACATTTAGAAAAACAGAAGGGCCGAAAACCAATGCTAAAGTAAAGGTGGCAAAAAAAAGAAAAACTGCAGTTCATCTAATGGACACAAATTGGGGTCCAGCCACACCAACTCCCATGTCAGTCCCATGTTACAGCATTAACCCCCACCCCCAAAAAATACAACAACACATATTTTCATCCATTTATATATTTACTATTTTATAACTAAAGTGGGAGGTTAAATGTTTTTACAACTCATCCATCTGGATAACAGTTGTGGCTGCTTTGATTTACTGGACCTCTCAAAAGCATTTGTGATGTTGGTGCCTTTAAATGGAACTGACTGACTGATATTAAGGCCACCTTTGAGGTACAGACCATCCACATTTGTACTTCTGTTTTGGTGAGTGAAACTTTTCAGTTTCATTAGTCTGTTATTTAGTACCCACCAGCAGCTACTTGTATCTGTACACTGTATCCATATAGGTTTCTGGATGTAGCTTGATAAACTTGGCACTCCACCCTTTCATTTGCGGTCACTTGTGGCTCCCAAAAAAAGAAAAAAATACAAATGGCAGCTGCCAAAGCACTTATATTAAGGCTTTGAAATCTTGACTTTTGTTGCAACTATACTCCTACCAGCCACTGACTGAAAGCAGCAGCCTATAAACATTAAGTTTACTGTGACAATGCAAAACTCAATACCAAGTTAGAATTTTTTATTGTTAAATACGTCTTCAAACCAGAGGCTCTGTTCAGAAGCATTACCATGCATCAGTCCCTGCTGAGAGTCTGTTGGTTGCACCCTAAGTTGATTAGTGGCTAATTTGAAGTCTGCTTGCTTGTTTGACTGTCTGGATATAAACAGGCTGTGCTGATGCAGATCCTCTTATCCACAGATTAATCATCACAACTGGCATCCTGTGCATCCTGACCTCTTCTCAACCCCCACCACCACCACCATGGGGCAACCACAGCAAGACATAATTTGGCTGGCCCTCCCTCTAACACCTTTTAACCCCTGATAGTGTTTCTATTGTCCAAGTCCAGACAGAAGTTGGGAATTACACAGTGTGATAGAAAACACTTTCTCATTCTTCCTGTTCATGACCAAAGCTTACCCTGTGGAGTCTGTCTAGGCTCTTTGAGTGTAGCTGAGAATTGGAAGGATGCCTCATAGAAACCATTTTTTAGTCTAAAAGCATTGGTTACTGTTCAAAACATTAGATAGTGAAATCCACTATATATAACAACCAAGACTTTAGGTCAGCCATTAGTATATCAAAGCTTTAAGATATAGTTTGAATTTATAATATAGAAGATCTGGCGATGGCATGTGCCATAACACAATAACTTCAGTAAAGTCAGCGTTTCCAGACGCTACTATCACAACACTCTTAAAGCCCTGCCCCCACTCTCCCTCTGCACCTCCAGTTCTCTCACAAAGTTTTCCTGCAGCATGGAGGGATACAGCTCAGCTACTGTCACCCTGTAAGAATTGATCAATTGATATCAACTGCATGTGTGGCAACAGCTGACAAAGCTCGTGACTCATCGAGTAATGCGACCGACTAGCCAATAAGTGGCACGTCATATTTTTGGGATCACTTGAAACCCTAGTCGAGTAGGTACTAAAAATGTACCTGGTACCAGGTACTATCACCCTATTGGAAAACCCTAAAAAATGTGTCAAGTTGTGCCAAGCCATCTCAATCCAACCCGAGTACGTATTAAAGGAAAAGGGCTATATAGGTTGTAACTTTAGCAAACCACAGAGAATAGCAAAGAACCAACAACACTACAAGCAAAATTAGCCAACAGATTCATTGAACCACATATTTTTGCCAATGCCTCCATATGACAACAGGTAGACATTGGCAGTCCGTACCTGTTGACAGACTGCCAATGCCACATTGGCAGTGGTGAATCAAGTAGGCGAAATCCTCACATCATTTAAACAGCATGCTTTCCGAATGCCTTGCCTCAAAGTCACAAATGAGCCTGCTAGTTTTGTCATAATAGTACATTTCCAACTAGATAACTGATACCCAGGAAAATACGCAATACTGCTTAAATAATAAAACAATTGTCTTATACAGTTGGAAAAAAATATTTTAGTTTGTATGAGGTGGTGCTGTGTAGCGGTGGGCGATATAAACGATATACGATAGAAACTATATAAATTTGGCCAACGATAGAGATTTTGACTATATCGCTCTATCACGATAGCGCATGTTGATGATGCCGTCAAGCTGCGCCTGTTTTGGTCGAAAGCATTGCAGCAGCTAAAACCATTATCATCTGCAAATTATGCCGGGCGACAGTCATAGCAAAGAGATGAAGCACTTTTGAAATATGGGGAAAGCCAAAAACTGTGCTTCCTCCACTTCCGTAACATTGATTCATTAATGCTGAATTCTCTCGCAGCTGCTCTATTCCCATGTTGTTGCAGTATATTAATAACTAACCTCGTATTGTGGATGAATGATCTCAGTTGTTCTCCTGACTGAAGTTTGGCCCGTGTATAGCATCCTGCTATGCGACTGCATTTGTCCCTAACCACCAAAATCCCTCACGTTAACTTTTATCGAATGGAAAAAAGTTGGCGTTCATCCTCCAGCTTCACGGTGCTAATGTTATGCTAACATAGCTGTGTCGCTAGCAATCACGTAGCACAACATTA